GTCTTGTCTTGATATATGTGAAGTCATGTACTATTTGTCCTTTTGTGATTAGATTATTTTTCATAATGTCCTCATGTGATTAAAAATTCCCTGAAGGGTCAGCTGTGGTTGGTTCTGACTTGACGATTTTCAATGATGTCCTCAAGGGATTTCTGGTGGGGTGGCTAGCAGTAAGAAGTTGTAGTGCCATCCCAAGGGGACACAGTTCCAATCCTCTGAAAACCTGCTGGGGAGGGTCAGCTAGGATTCAGTTTCAACTCAACAGTCCTCCAGCTCCATTGTGACATTAGGCACCATCGTAGACCGACCAACAAATCCTGCACCATCCTGAATCTCTCTTCTACCGCTAAACCCATTGATAAATCAATTCCTGAGGGCTTTCCTGTTTTGTAAGCCTAGAATTTCTTTTCATTCTTGGTAAGAAACAAAGATTTCTAAGTCTGCACCGTTGACTTGCTTCTAAAACCTGAATGAAGACTAGTTATGTTCCACTTTATTCTCCCCTCCACCCAATCCAAGCAAAAGTTTGAAGCCAGTTGTCGAAGGTAATCCCAGGATAGAAACGGACCTTACAAGTTTCCTAAAATCTATGGAAATGAGTGGGTTTATCACTAGGGAATCTCTGCCCAGCTATGGCAAGGATCCATAAATCCAGTGCTTGTGTCTCCAAGGAGTAAAATGTTAAGGCTTCAGAGCTTGGAAGCTGGACTTTGAATTGTTTTTTTCCTAATTTAGAGCTATATAATTGGATCAGCTACCTAATATTTTGCTTTCTCAAGTGAGCTCCTGGGAGTAAGACTTTGCTTGGGAAGGTGGAGAGGGTCAGCATATAAGGTCTACAATGAGGTAGGTTGATAGGTCACTGACGATGGGCTCAAGTGTACTTGAAGTAAGAATGGCACAGGATAGGCAGGGTTCAGATAGCTGTTTGTAGGGTCAGAATTGGGGTTGACTCAGTGGCATGTAACCATTGGTTACTACCCTAAAAACTGATGATAACCAGTATAGGGCACACTGCTCATTGAATATGGTATATGCTGAAAAGCTGAAGCAAAGCTTTTTTTCAAACCGGTGTGTAGACAGGTGCTGCTTAGGAGGCTTCCATATCCCCAGCATTCCCTTGATGTGGCAAAAAGATTTCTCCTTTAAGGCATTCACAGCACTTCTATGGAGAAGATGAGTGACCAGGCAGGAAGGGAGCTAAACCATGTGCTGAGCTGAGCACATGTAAAGTGCTGCTTCACTTTACATGATACGGTTACAGTGGGATTTGGGAAGGGGGGACACAGGTTTTGATCCTTTTATGGGAGATTGGTGTGAAATCCTTTACATCAATTTAGGAAATAAGTGAAAATACTGGTAAGGAACTGGAAAAAGCTTTAATTGAAGTAAGGGGTGGCATGCTAAGCCAAAGACACTGCTAACTGGAGAAAATGGATTCTCAGGAAAGTGTTGCACAGAGAGGTGTAATGTTGAAGTAATTCCCATGATAACAAAAGGGCAAGGTGGTGAAAAGTATTGTTACCTATCCCAGTGGATTTTGAGAGCTTAAGTAATTTGCTCGAGACAGTTATAATTATTTACACAGTGTGTAATATATGTACTATGGTTGGAAAGTGGTGTGCACCATCGAGTTCAACCATAGCTGACCCTCCACAGGTTTTCTGAGATAATAAATCACACAGGATATTGTTTTCCCAAGAGCAGCTAGCCACTTGCCTTCGTATTGGCAGCACAGTTCTTTGCCACTGAGCCACCAGCGCTGTCATGTGCTATGATAGATGAAAAAGTCAGCAGCCCTGTGAACCCTACCCTATTCTACATTATGCTACTGTTGTCCTCCATGCTCAAGCCAATTGCAGCAGTCTGTCAGTTCATTGCAGGATAAAGGAAATAGGAAAAAAGTAGATAATATTCAGTTATTTCTAGATTGTCTATTTAAACTCTTCCCCAACTTTACAGGTTAGGGTGTGGTTTGGTTTTCCCCAAAAAAACTTAAGCTCTTTATACCTGTGGTGGGTTGGAGGCAATTTGTGTTCCAGATGCCTCTTTGCCCTAAAGCCAAGCTTGCTCCCTAGCCAGTGTGGCAACCAAGAAAGCTCGTTATTTTCCCAGTTATCCACTAGGAGGCAGTACTACACCATTGAGAATCATTGAGTAAAAAATCTTTGTTAAAAGACACATCTCTATTCATAGGATTGAATATA